TTTGTAATTAAACACCTAATACTATCACACATTTCTTGCTGTTTAAAGGTTATTTTTTTATTGGAGGAGTTTAGAGATAATTCAGAAGTATTTTTATTAAAAGCTAACCAACGCGCCTGTAGATTTGCAACGTCTACAAATTGATTTCCTAATAAACGTAAAGCTTCTGCTGTTTTAGAACATTCAACGCTTTTAGCAGCCCACAATTCATTCGTTCTCACATTCTCATTATGCGACAAAGACGAAACAGCTTGACAATCTAAAGTCTTACACTCCTTCAACAATAACTTATACGGTTTTAACACAACTCCTAACATAATATGCAAAACAGGTGGCACTACATTATCTAAAGTTATTATGGGGAAAATCACAGGAGCAATAATTGAATTATGAAACTTACCTAAAGTTCTTAATTTCCACCTTGTCTATTTTCACGCAAGTTCTCATTGTAAGCACTTTCCAGAGATTGTATTGTCCTCCTTAAGATGTTACAATTAGCAGGTGTGTGAGGCATAGAAGCATGGTTTCTTAGAGAATTCAACTTAACTAGGTCTGTAGAACTAGGAAAGCTAGCAGCTGAACCCTGGTGTCCCAGAACATCATCGATAAAATGAAAATCTCCACCTAAGAACAACCTGACTATTTTGCCTTTTAGCTTAAAATCTGACGACTGAATTCTTTTAATGTCGTTGGCAAAATGCCCGAGAACTAAGGCTATATTCTCACGACAGTCTGAACCCTGATACATACAAAACAAGTGAACATCGTATACAGACCCTGATGATTTAGAATTGACAACTTCAAAATGGAATTTCATATATTTCCCACCCTTATCACCAGCAAAAAGGAGCCATACTTCTTCGCCAAAACCGACATCCGAATTAAGGTGGTCGCGTACATAAAGATTAGTAAAAACCTCTTCAATATAAGTTGTCAAATTCTTGACCATCAGTACAGATACTAAACAAGGTGCTTCATTCGCAGATGGATAAAGTAACATGGACTTCACAGTGACATGTTCTTTATTGACATGCATTGTCTGCATTTCTTGTTCTTGTCTCATCTTGGGCTCAGATGGGAGAATCCTTGCACCAAGATTACACAGAATACGTCTTAGTCTACGGAATTCAGCCGTGGGCATCCTTAATTGGCTCTGTAGCTCTACAGCATCAGAAACACTTAACTGCTTAACTAAACCCAACTTATTTGCAACACAACAAAATACTGACTTTTCACAAGACATAGAATCACAAAACAACATAGACAAATCACTTTCTAAATCTGAACAAGCTAATAATCGAAGGAATATAAAAGCAAGTTTAGATCGTTTAGCTGCAGCATGCCTACCTAACTTAGAATAAGGTTTACCATTTCCTAACTTAATGTAAGTATATTTTTTACTAATTATTGGCTTTTTAACTGATATATTCTGTGGATTACTTAATTTAAACCCACAAAATAATTCAGAGGAACCAATGTTGTCGTAGTCTAAATAAGAATCAACCACAACTAAATCCTTATTGCAACTAGCAAAACATTTGCAAATTTGGCAACTGTTCTGGCTTAAATCACTAATTTTTGCAATTCTTTTTTCAATAATAATTTTTTTTAGCAATCTTACATTTTTGGCACGAGCAGATGCAAATTTACGCTGTGCTGTTTTAACTTTTTTTTTTTTTTTAAAGTTGGAACTGCTCCTCCTGTTTTAGCCTAATACTCATAGTCTCTAATTGAAAACTTAATGAGTTACAATGTGTGTTGAGAGCCCTATTTTAATTTGTATCTGTAATTAATTTGAATTTAAATCTGTAATTTCAGCTTCCAACTTAAATACTTGCATTTTAAATTTTTCTATTTGCTCCATATTTGTTTTATTTTCAGAAGTTAATTGATCAATTTGATTCAGTAGCTCCTGACTGTTATTTAAAGTGAAAAAGTCATCTGCATCTGCTGATTTTTTTTTTTTGGGTGGAGCTTGCGACAGTTGCATTTTAAAAAATTCTTCGTTTTTTATAGCTTTAAAATTTCTTTTTTTGTCGTGTTAACTTTTGGCACATTTTATCAAACTCGTCATTACTAGGCATATCAAAATTAATTGGCAAAAGAAAACTCATAAACTTAAATAAATCACTTCTTATTTTAAAGACTGTCATTAAAATGGAAATGACATTGTTACTGATCTTATCTGTCCTAATTAATCGCTTAACAAAAGGAAAGTTACACCTATCTTCCCAACCATTTTTCCATCCAATATGTTGTTTTAGAATTTCCCTCTCAGTTGAATACATAGTTATCAAAATAATATTGACTTATTAATCAATATAATAAAAACAAATAAAATAATATTAATTAACAAATATATGCACAAGATAAAAGTGGATTTAACAACTTATCTGATATTAGTTTGATAATCCATAGAGAAAAATTCCGCGTAACTTTGTTTACTTTATACTTCAAAAATTGACTCGCCGAAACAGTTGTTTGGAGAATATTCGTTAATAAATAGTTTGGGACGTAACGCATAAAGGTTACGTCATCGCAAAAAAAAACGTCAACACAAATGTACGCCTAAAACTAACAAGATTAGTTGTAAAACATGACATTTTTGAAAACATATTTCATAACATAGCTGAAGGCAAGTAAAATAATTTTTTTATTTTCATTTGCATAAAAGGTTGAAATTTCATTAACTTACGTCATCCATCAAAAAATTTAAGTTTTGCATTTAAAAACGATTAATTAAAAAATATAAATGCTTTAAAAACAGTCTTTTTGTAAAAAAATCTCTAGGATGACGCAGGAATCTGATAGAATGGGCATTTAGGGTTAAGCATTCCAAATTTCAACTATCAAGCACTGAGCTATGCTATGAAATCTTAGTTAGCCCAACTCATGTTTTGCGGAAAATATGCGAAAATTAGAAAAGTGGTTCTAAATTATTAAAAATATTTTGGCAATATTTATTTTTATACCAATTAATGTAAATATTTCTTTAACAAGGAAAGATAGATCTTTTATATTTTTTTAAATGCAAGATGAAAGCATTTATATAAAAAAGTTACTATTAATTTAAAGTTTGTGAATTTTTATACTTTTTATGCGGAAATACTTTTTTTTTTTGATAAACTCATGACGTCACGCTCGTTTTTATATTGAGTGAAACAGCCGTGTTTGATGTCAAGAATAAGCACTGTTTTTGTTTTGTGAACTGTGATAGATTATTACCTCCGCCTGAATTATCACCTCCCCCTATTGAAAACTCAAAACGAGGTTGCGCTTTCTGGTTATAGCTGTTAGATGTGTTCCTAAAACGTCCGGATTACCTTACATAACATAACATAATTAACATAAACATAAACAACGAAAATGACGCTTCGAGGACAAGAATTCGAGAAATAAAGTTTACTTGGTCTTTTGTGATGTTCCAATTCCATTTTTTTGAAAGGTAATATAAGGAAGGTTATATAAAAAAGATTGATAGTAATAGATATTATACAAATGTAATATAACTAGTTTACTTATTATAATTATAATTATTATACTTGCATAAAAATATTAAATTTTTACCTCGCCCTTAGACTCAGGCCTGCTAAGACTTAGTAAATAACTTGATATGAGATGATACGATATTGGTATTGTTTGATAATGATAGAAATTGTGCATCTGTAAATTAATTAGTCACTTTTTTACTTGAAAATGCTTAAAACTTTTATATCTGTCTGAATTATCACCTCCCCCTTTGGAAATCACAAAACCTTCACCTGACTTATTGCCTCCCCCTTGTAAATCAGTCAATATAAGACGGTGTGATTATGTTATTTAGTGAGAAAGATAGAAATTTTACAACGGTCAATAATTAGTCATATATTTACATGAAAATACTCTACAAATATTTTTATATCTGTCTGAATTATCACCTCCCCCCTTAGTCAATCACTCCATATGAGATAGTGCAATAATGGTATTGTTTTATAATGACAGAAATTGTTTATTTGTAAATTAATTAGTCACTTTTTTACTTGAAAATGCTCAAAAAATTTCTTTGTATTTGTCTGAATTATCACCTCCCCCTTAGAAAATCACTAAACCTGCGCCTGAATTATTAACTCCCCCATGTAAATCAGTCAGTATAAGATGGTTTATTTTGTGACATTGTATTTAAAAATTTATTTTTTGTTCGTTTTTAGTGACTCATCATGTTATAGTGTGGTATTTTCTGAATGACTTTATGTGATAGTGTGAACGTTTTCTGACTGGCAGAAGGTAAGTTTTTCAGTTAGCAATTTACACTTTAAGTTAAAGCTCAACTTTATCGTATTGTTTATTCACTATTGGAAAACCACCTTTATAATCATTTGAAGTTACGGAATACTTATATAAAGGTTTATTAGTTTTAAGTATTTTATTTATTATAAAGTTTATTAATTGTTTCAAGATATTCAGTTTTCTTTTTGCCCAACCTTGTCAGTCTGGTGCTAAAAAGGTAAGTTTAGTGTTATATCTTTAGAAGCTAATATTATTTCGGTCCTTATGGTAATGCACGCAAGTATGAATTAATTGTGTTAATAATTTTTTTTTTTCTTTGTTTTTTTTTATTCAACTTTTTTGCATAGAAGGTTTTAATTTTAACTTTGATTTCATTTCTTTGTGAATTTGTTTTATAGAAGAGATAGAACCACATTTATGTGTAAACACTGACAGAGGAATAAAAGGACTAGTTTATTATGAATACACCACATTGGTATAAAGACTATAGTTTTTTTTATACACTCTTTATACAATAATTAACATTTATATATATGTGCGTGTGTGTGTATGTGTTATATTTGTAAATATGCTGTGTATATATATATATATATATATATATATATATATATATATATATATATATATATATATATATATGTATATATATATCAAAATTCTTGATAGTTGATAATTGATATTGATTAAAACAATATTGTAAATAATTTTATTAAAAATTACTTAAAAAAATTGTTATTTAATGTTTTAATTATGGATCTTTATTTTAACTGTTATTATTTAATTTAATTGATTGTTTTGAGAAAGGTTTGTGCAGGTAAACGATTTGCTGCTTTCTGTTACATTTGGAATGCAGTCCATGTGATACCATCGACTTGGTAAGCATTTATCACACTTAATCTATAAATAAATCATATATATAGTTTCATGATTATTATTTAAATTTAGAAATAAAATGAGATTTAAAGATAATACAAATCTTATACCCATTTATCTATTATTTGCTTTTTATATTTTTTTGGTCCTTTTGCATTACCACATATGCGACACAAAACATCTTTCCAACTATGTTGACCTGAGTTTAAATTTTGTCAACTGTTATTTTTTTACAGGTATATTTATATTTTTATTAAACAATTTAATAAATAACAAACCTCCTCTATCTATAAGATAGTGCACCACCTTGTTTCGATATAGAACTACTTCTTCTAATGGGAAGGACAATGCCAACTCTTCTCCATTCATAAAGTTTTCAGCAAACTAAAAAATTTTAATTTAGAACTCTTAACTATAACAAATGTTTTATTAAACTCGGCTTAGGTTGAGCTACCTAAAAAATTTGTGATAATTTTTCAAAGTGGATGATAGGGAGGGGGGGGGAAGGAGGAGGAGATAACAAGAGTCTGAAGTTGCCTCTAAACAATGAATACTCGAATTAAAAATTTGCTGGTAGGCATATATGGTAATAGAGCTGTATTTATTTAGTTACTGGATAGCTTAATTGGTATACCGTTAATGAGTACTGCTCATTGGCATCAATATTATTTGGGTTTAGCCTTATTATTGCATCACTATCCAGATTCATTATAAAAAATAACTGATGCAGCTTTTGATTAGACTTTGAAGATATTTGCTGCTATCTTTATGATGAATAAAAAATAATGGAACTATATATCTTTTATAAAAATTGTAAAAAAATAAAAAGTATTTCACATTACTTTAAGACAAAAGACTCCACACGATATGCTGTCTCTTTGCAGTGCATGTGGCAATGTCATTATTTTAAATGTTTCTGAAATTCCATACCTTTGTTTCAAATAGTTACTGAAATTGAAAAAAAGAAATAGTTTCTTTATCTAAATAACCATTATGTATTAAGGTTTTATACTATTTTAGTCATGCATTGCTTATTGAATAATTTCATACTTCCATTTTATTTCTTCTTTTTTTATTGAAGATAAGATTTCGCCTAGAGGATTGATGTAATAAAAGCTCTTTTCCTTTGGTTTGATTATCTAGAAGAAATAACAATTTCAACATTTTAATCCTAGTTTCTTTCCAATTGAATAATTTTTTAAAAAAAGTTTGTATTATTTTTTTATTATGAAATATTTATATTTATAAATATTATTTATATTATTTTTATTCTTCGAAATACTTAGATATATATTGCTTATCTAACCTGTTTCATTCATTCATCCATTTTGATGAATAGATCATTAAATATTAAAGAGTTTACTCACTGTAAGCGTCCAATGATGTTTTGCAACAACACAGCATATAAGAATATCTAGTTTTAACAACTCATCCTGCATATAAATAAGATTTTTATTTTAATACCGCATGTGTTATGAATAAGTATTTAGTGGCATAACCAGGCGATTATGTGAAGGATCTTTTATCCTTAATATTTAATGTTTTTTTATGCTTGCATCGACCTTACAACGGCCATATGCGCATAAATCTCTTCATGTGTAGGATTAAAGGAAAAAAGGCGACTCCCTAACCATTCGCCTTGTTACGCTTATCTATCTATATTTACTTTTTAATTAATGCTTTAAATATTTTAATAACACTCAATTTTTTTTTTTCAGTGAAAATGTTTAATACCAAATTTTTCCTTCGAATCAAAGCTGTTTTATTTGGTAACACTTCTTGTGATAGTAATCCGGCTGGTGCTAGTACTTCAATTTTGTTCTTACATGAAAAAAAAGAATTGTGAATTTTAGCATTGTAAATCATGTTATAATGTTTTATTTATAAAAATAGTTTTTAAATTTACATGTTTTATTAGAAATATTGTATTGTAAACTGGCTTAAAATTCAGAATTTTAGTTTTAAATAATGTATGTTACATTACATTAAAATATTTTCATAACATAATTGCGTAATTTTTCATAAATCTTACCTTATCTTGATTACTAGCAAGTAAACTCAGATAAACGTAAACTGTTTCATTACTCAAACAATCAACTAGAGTTTCTTGTAATGAGTAGTCGTATATTTTGCTGTCTCCCAATTCTTTAAATATACCCATTATTGCTTTTATCGGTTTAAAATTTTTTAGGCATTCGATTATTTCGAATCCTGCATAAAATATGAATTTTTTTTCTACTTTTACTAATAGTGTATTTAATAAACAATTTTGATTTGAAAAACACCTAAAAATTCAAAACTTTGCTCACTTCAGTTGCACGTCATATAAAATATACCTTCACTGTTTTCAATAATACAGCTTTTACCGCTGTCGCTTACTTATGAATCGTCAAACTCTATAAAATAAAATAATCGATTAAATTTTAAAATTAATATAACTTGCCTTGTTTTTTAAGTATGAAACGAAAAGAATTTAAAAAATTGCATGTTATTCGGCGTAAAGTGTTAACTACTTTGTGTTCTTTTTACTGAAGTATCATTATTGCTCAAATCTGTAACGTTGACATCATCTACAAAAAAAAAAAAAAATTAGAAAAACAGATTTTTTTTCATCATTGTTTCTAGCTAACAAACAGATAAACGAAGAACTTCAATATATACATACATACATTACATACATACATACATACATACATACATACATACATACATACATACATACATACATACATACATACATACATACATACATACATACATACATACATACATACATAGATATATATATATATATATATATATATATATATATATATATATATATATATATATATATATATATATATATATATATATATATATATATATATATATATATATATATATATATATATATATATATATATATATATATATATATATAGTATATATATATATATATATATATATATATATATATATATATATATATATATATATATATATATATATATATATATATATATATATATATATATATATATATATATATATATATATATATATATATATATAGTGAAAACATCTATACCTTTTACATCAGTACTTTCAATGAATTTTTTTATATGTATTTTTTTGTGCGTTCCTGATATTTGCATACCTTTATCATCTTTTAATCTAAAGTTCCCACATTGTGTTACATGAGAAACAATAAACGGACCTTTAAAACGTGGTTTTAATGCTGCACCTTTTGATCTGCGACCCCTAATGTCAAGTAACAATACTTTATCTTCAACGTCAATGGATTCCTTTTCAATTTTTTTACACTTCAATACTTTTTTATCGTAATGTATCTTTTGCTTGTTTTGAGCATCTTTGATGTTCTAAAATTAAATTTTGCTAAATTGCTAACAAACGCAATTGGTACGTACCTGGCTTTCATATTATTTAATGTTATTATTGCTATTTAATAATGCTATAACATCGAACCTTACAAACCAAATTTGTGAGATTTTCAATGCGAAGTTTGCTTTTTTCCATTTCACTCGTTATATTATCATCTGTTGCATTCACAAATATTTTGTTCTTTAAATAAATTATAAAACTTACGATATATTTTTTTATACATTGATTTTATAAATTAACTGACAACAATTCAAATAAATTTTATACTTTTAACACAATTTGGTGACATGTGTACGTGTGTGATATAAATTGTTTGAATAAATAATAAAAAAAATTTTACTTCCTCAAATTCACTAGTACAAACAGGTGACCGACCACTAAACATTATTTCAAAAGGGGATACTTTTGTAGATTGTTGCCTCTCCACTCGTAGTGGGTACAAAACAATATCAACATATTCGTCCCAATTAGTTTGATTTTCATTAACCAGTTTTCTTAACTTTCTAAAAGTACAAAAAGCGTTAATATTTAATAACTGACATGAAAATCTAAATAATTTTGTAATATACATATAAACATAATATGCAATAAAATAAATTTGATAAATTCTAACTATTCAGTAAATATGGAAGTATTATAAATAAAGAACACGTTTGACAAAACAAGAATGGTTACATTTTAAGATGCGCTTAATAGAAATTATTTATCACTTAAGCAGTCCTCACCCAAAACAAAAAACATTATAACCTTTTTAGATTTTTATTGGTGTTTTCGTCTTGTCCGTTGCACTGTGGGTGATAAACGGCTGTCTTTCTTCGTTCAATACCCAGCATTTTGTACATTTCGTGGTTTAACTAAAAAATTAGGATTAGTAACAAAAATTAACAAACCCTTAGGGTTTCATTATCATTATTTTAATTTATTTTTACCTGATTACAAAACTCAGTTCCATTATCTGAAAGTATTACCGAAGGAAATCCAAAAGTTGTAACTAATTTAATAATAGCCTTTGCAACAGTGGTAGCTTCTTTATTTGGTAAAGCATATGCAACCGGCCACTTGGAAAACAAATCTGTGCAACTTAAAAAATATTTGTTGCCTATTGCTGTTTCTGTAAAGGATCCAGCAAAATCAATACCCACAATTTCCCATACTCGAGTTGTCTAAAGTTATTAAATATAAACAGTATAGCAAGACCTTATTTTGCTGCTTAAAATTGAATCTAAATTATTCTATATTAGGTAAGGAGTTGAACTGCTCGCTTCATGATTAAGGTTTTTTATGGTCGAATGGCATTCTTGGATTGTAACGCACTCAATTTAATTTATTATGCAGAAGCTTTGTCTATCAAAATTTATGTTTCAGTGAGATGGATTTCAGAGAGAGTTGCAATTAGTTAAGATGAAAAAAAAAATTATTATAATATAGAAGAATATCATTTAAAAAATGTATTCTTCTTTTCTGTAGAATCATTGGACAAAGTATTGGTTTTATAAATAAAGTTTTTTACTGTTATAAAAATCATTCTAACCTTTATTGAACGTAATGGCTCTGCTGATGAAATAAGTGCACCTGCTGTTTGGCATTGCTTGCATTGTTTTACCTGTTACAATAAAAGTTGCAATTTTAATTCAGTTTTAACTGATTAATTTTTTTTAATTGATTATTACCAACCCATTTTATAATATCCGTAGTCATATTTGGCCAGTAGTATTTTTCCATAATTTTTGACTTCGTCTTTGTTTCACCGCTATGCCCTCCCAAAGGGCTACCGTGTTCCTCAGTAAAAATCTTAATTCTTTCTTTTTCACAAAGTATAATATCCGCGACATAAGAATTTCCGTATATTGTGACTTTCCGTTTCAGCTTACCTTCTTGAATAAAGTTTGTTATACATTTTTTTGGTAGCATGGAACAATATTTTTACTAAACTAAATGTTGCAAAAAAATTAAATTACCTTGCACAACGTAACTTCGAGATACATCTCTTAGACATCGTTTTTCATTTTTTTTAAAACCAGCCGGATAAGTCTTCTCTGTTAAGTATTTAAAGATGTTATTTAAATAAATTTCTTTTTTTTCACCGTTTGACATCGTTGACAGAACCAACCCACTTAACAACACTGAATTACTGATTTGTTTGAAACATAAGAAGGTATTTATGCAACAAATTTGTAATTTTGCGTGGGTTAAAACTGCCACAATTGCTTCCTTAAAACTTAATTACTGGTTTGTGGACAATGCCAGAGCATTTAAGACGGTTGTTTTTTATAGTAACGTTGAAAATGGTTTACTTAAAAATATGTTAAAACCACAAGACTTTGATTTTAACAAATATTTTAGGCTTATTGTAACAATGATCCACGTTGGAATTATTTACGATTCAATTTTTTTCCTTGTGCAAAAGGTTGTGGATTTTAGCATTACAAAGATTTTGAAATAGGTGTCAAAAAAGTAAATTTAAAAAACATTTTAACTAATCCTAGTAAAATTTTTTTAAGGAATAACTTTTGCTAATTATTTTGTCGGCATTTTCTTATTGCCTAATTAGGGAATAAATAAGTATTATTACAAAACCGAATAGCTACTTATAACTGAAGGTCTTTTCAATTCATTTTCAAAAGCCATTGCAATGCTCAACCTTAACAAAAATGAGATTATATTTATATTCTTCTATATAATAAAACAGGTACGATCCCATTTTTTTTAAGATTAAGGTTTGTACAGCAATATTTCTCAAGTAAACTTATACATTGTATAATTGTTCTTTTATTCAATTTTCGACCAAATAGCGCCTTAAAAACACGTTTCAAGGTGGATTCGCTAAAGTTAAATGGTCGAAAAAAAATCAAAATCCTTCTCTGATGGAACTGCAAAAATAAATATATATTTATTTGTAATGCTTATGTAAATAGATTTGCCTGTTGCCAGTTATGGGTCCGGTATCCCCCGGTCGGTTGGTCACCCCTAAAATAGGGATTCCAAAAGTGTCAGGGTCACGACTACCCAAAAAGCAAAAATTAAAACAATTGACAATAAAATCCTCGAAACAGAAATAAACAAAAAGAAATTTTGATTGATATTTGGTTTTATTAATTTCACAAGTGATCACTCCTTGGATCCGTCAATGCTTGTTTTTACGATTTTCTTTTAAACTTTTTTTCCTTCATCTTTTTTTTATAATTTTTAAAGAATATTTTTTTTTTCTCTCGTTAAACTAATCTTTTTTCATTTCAGCTTTGCTGGGTGATATAAAACTCATATTCTAAAGAAATTGATCATTAATTATTATAACAAAGTATATGGTTTGAAATATTTGTATTCACAAGACATAGTTTGAAATTTTTATAACTTTAAAAATACACACAAAATATAAATATACATAATATACATAATATATAAATATACTTAGGTAAATGCTTATGTATTGACTATATACTTCAGCATCTACTTAAAACATATTCATCTACTTAAAAAATACTATAGAACCTTGAAGTTAAAGATATACATTTTGAATCTATAAATTATTTAGATAAAATGTATAATACTGCTTTCATAATAAAAATTAAAAAAAAATTAGAGAGTAAGAGATTAGACTACATTAAAGAAAATGAGAACATTAAAAAAATATAATAATAAAAGATTTGTTTGGCAAGCAAAAGTATTTTAAAAGTAGGTTCATCCAGTTTCCACACTCTAGCAACAGATGGTTACGCAAGTAACAGTACAGTACGCAATTGATTCAAGTGTTTGATCTTCTTTATGGATGCATTTTTCCTGTACTGCTTATATAATGTTTATATTTCAAAATTTTTGATCCTTTTGAACTTTGGAAAATTTTTTGTGTGGTTCAAATAATTACATTTTCTTTCTATATAACAGCATTAATCTTTTATCTTGGCATTTTGATTATCTTATTCTCCATTTGATTCTGTTTAATGAAAAAAACAAAAATATCAACACATGAAAGTATAAAAAAAGAACATTTTACATAAACAATTATACAAACTTACATGAGATTGACTTTGAATGAAAATCAAATTTATTAAAACACTTGAGATTCTTCTTTCTAAATCGTCTGCTCGTATTTGAGAAACCAATTTGAAATCAATCTGTAAAGAAAACAATTTAAAAAATCTTAGAACTTCGTATTATTGGAAAAAACAGAAACAACAACAATTAATCAAAGTTTAAAATGAAAACATGGAACAATAATTAAAAAACTCAATACAAACACAATTTTTTGAATTCATTTATGAGAAAATAAAACAAAAAGATCACTTCTACTCAATAGCATCTTATGTTGATTAATTTACTAGGAGATAAAAAATCAGACACTTTACAAGGGGTAGGTGATAATTCAGACAGATGTAAAGAGCTTATTAGAGTATTTTTAAGTAAATAAATCACTAATTAATTTACAGTTGTATAATATCTATCATTATCACAAAACACCATGATCACATCATCTCATATTATACTGATGTATTAGGGGTAGGTAAAAATTCAGACGCTAGTTTTAGTGATTTACAAAGAGAAGGTGATAATTCCGACATATAAAAACTTTCAAGACAAATATTCATTAACACAATTAATTCATACTTGCGTGCATTACCATTAGGACCGAAATAATATTAGCTTCTAAAGATATAACACTAAACTTACCTTTTTAGCACCAGACTGACAAGGTTGGGCAAAAAGAAAACTGAATATCTTGAAACAATTAATAAACTTTATAATAAATAAAATACTTAAAACTAATAAACCTTTATATAAGTATTCCGTAACATCAAATGGTTATAAAGGTGGTTTTCCAATAGTGAATAAACAATATGATAAAGTTGAGCTTTAACTTAAAGTGTAAATTGCTAACTGAAAAACTTACCTTCTGCCAGTCAGAAAACGTTCACACTATCACATAAAGTCATTCAGAAAATACCACACTATAACATGATGAGTCACTAAAAACGAACAAAAAATAAATTTTTAAATACAATGTCACAAAATAAACCATCTTATACTGACTGATTTACATGGGGGAGTTAATAATTCAGGCGCAGGTTTAGTGATTTTCTAAGGGGGAGGTGATAATTCAGACAAATACAAAGAAATTTTTTGAGCATTTTCAAGTAAAAAAGTGACTAATTAATTTACAAATAAACAATTTCTATCATTATAAAACAATACTGTTATTGCACGATCTCATATAAAGTGATTGACTAAGGGGGGAGGTGATAATTCAGACAGATATAAAAAACCTTTTACAGCATTTTTAAGTAAATAAATAACTAATTACTTTACAGATGTAAAATTTCTATCTTCCTAACTAAATAACATAATCACACCATCTTATACTGACTGATTTACATGGGGGAGTTAATAATTCAGGCGCAGGTTTAGTGATTTTCTAAGGGGGAGGTGATAATTCAGACAAATACAAAGAAATTTTTTGAGCATTTTCAAGTAAAAAAGTGACTAATTAATTTACAAATAAACAATTTCTATCATTATAAAACAATACCATTATTGCACTATCTCATATGGAGTGATTGACTAAGGGGGGAGGTGATAATTCAGACAGATATAAAAATATTTGTAGAGTATTTTCATGTAAATATATGACTAATTATTGACCGTTGTAAAATTTCTATCTTTCTCACTAAATAACATAATCACACCGTCTTATATTGACTGATTTACAAGGGGGAGGCAATAAGTCAGGTGAAGGTTTTGTAATTTCCAAAGGGGGAGGTGATAATTCAGACAGATATAAAGGTTTTAAACATTTTCAAGTAAAAAAGTGACTAATTAATTTACAGATGCACAATTTCTATTATTATCAAACAATACCAATATCGTATCATCTCATATCAAGTTATTTACTAAGTCTTAGCAGGCCTGAGTCTAAGGGGGAGGTAATAATTTAATATTTTTATGCAAGTATAATAATTATAATTATAATAAGTAAACTAGTTATATTACATTTGTATAATATCTATTACTATCAATCTTTTTTATATAACCTTCCTTATATTACCTTTCAAAAAAATGGAATTGGAACATCACAAAAGACCAAGTAAACTTTATTTCTCGAATTCTTGTCCTCGAAGCGTCATTTTCGTTGTTTATGTTTATGTTAATTATGTTATGTTATGTAAGGTAATCCGGACGTTTTAGGAACACATCTAACAGCTATAACCAGAAAGCGCAACCTCGTTTTGAGTTTTCAATAGGGGGAGGTGATAATTCAGGCGGAGGTAATAATCTATGACAGAACTCGTTTTAAATACAAAAAAGCTGGTTGGAATTCACGATGTTAACATTTGATAAACGCATGCGCTAAACTTTTGACGCGCTTTCTAAGTCGGCGTTTTTAAAGAAATTATATATGTACATTTGGAGCATCCTATCTAAAGCTAACCCATTAATTGAATAGAGAATAATAAAAGATAAATAATAAACTAACAAAAATACATCCTACTCGCTACATCTTCCAAATCTTAGCAAAAATTTTATTTATTTATTTTGATGTCAGGAATATAAAGTGAACTGTAATAAAATATCACCGCACCTTAGAATATCACCGCACCAGTAGAAATAATGAAAACGAGAATGCGTTTTGAAGTAATAGAACTTAGTAGAGTACCGAGAACGTCCGAATAATACAAGAACGTTGAAAAAATGTTGTTTTTTTACAAACAATATCTAGTATGTTGGTTAAACAGAAACAAACATACATGGGTGATGTGATATTCTAAACATATAATAGTGTATTTCAAAGTTTTTTGAAGGTGATGTGATGTTCTAAAATTCTAATCTCTATCTACGATATTGCTTTTTAACAAAGTATATGGGTGATATGATATTCTAAACATATATAAGTGTATTTCTAAATTTTATAAAGGTGATGTGATATTCTAACATTTTAGGCACTATCTAATATATTGTTTTTTTAACAAATTACATGGGTGGTGTAATAATCTAGCCATAAAATAGTGTATTTTTTTAATTTTATTAAGGCGATGTGATATTCTAACATTTTAAGCGCTATCTGGAATGTTGTTTTTTTAACAAAAACATGGGTGATGTAATATTCTAAACATGTAATAGTGTATTTTTAAATTTAATAAAAGTGATGTAATATTCTAACAATCTTTGCACTATCCAGTATGTTGTTTTTTAACAAAATACATGGTTGACGTAATATTCTAAACTATAAATAGTGTATATTATAATTTTATTAAGGTGATGTGATATTCTAACATTCTAAGCACAATCTAGTTTGTTATTTTTAACAAATAAAATGGGTGATGTAATATTTTAAACATGTAATAGTGTATTTTTTAATTTTATTAAGGTGATGTGATATTCTAACATTCTAAGCACTATCCAGTATGTTGTTTTTTAACAAACAACATGGATAATGTAATATTTTAAACTTAAAAAACTGTATATTTTAATTTAATTATTTTTAAATTATGTAATATTTTAAACATCAAATCAAATAATTTTTATAACATTAATGAACAATTTACATGGGGAATGTGACATTCAAAAAATTAGTTTCTAATGGTTTGTAATATATTTCCTAATTATAATAAGGAAATGTCATATTCTAAATTTTTAAACTAAAAGTGCAATTAATTAGTATGATATTTATAAACAAAGTACACGGGTGATGTGATATTGTAAACATACAGTGATTGTTAGTAATATATTTCTTAATTAATTTGCTGGATGTGATATTTTAAGGTTCATAGCAGAAAATACAACTAGTTTTTATGACATATATAAACAATATACATGGTGGGGGAGGGGGGAGGATCCCGATATTTTAAGTAATATAAAACTGTTAGTTGACAATAGATTTCTTATTTACATCTAAGATTCAAAGCAGCAAATAAGACTAACTACAAAGTTTTTTAATAATATACATTGGAATTGTGATATTTTTTATATATAACATATATAATACTGGTAGTACATAGGGGGTATGACATTCTAAACATATTGATAGTTTGTGGTAAAATTCTTAGTTACACTAAGGGAGTGTAATATTCTAAGCAGCAAATTTGACTTTGACATTTATAAACAATATACATAAGGGATGTGTGTCTAAACATAATACTATAATATGCATTATATTTCTTAACTTTATTACGATAGTAGTTTTATTAGGGTAGTATTCTAAGATGCTACTCTAAGAGATTTATTATAATGATATTCTTTTTTTAGGTTTCTTCTTGTTGTCCCTGGCCAGTAGCATTATGTTTTGTTGCATGTTATCAGAATTGTATGGTCACTACTTTTGAAGCCTTTCTGACTGAACAATACCCAGCTGTTTGTCATAATTGCTATCTATATCATGTGATGTAACCCTGACTGCTATCACTTTTAAAAAAAAACAGTTAGTTAAAGTCTTCTTCAATCTGTTTCACTTGTAAGTTGTTTATTTATATTATTATATATATTTTCCATTAAAATAAATACAGAATATCTTACCTTTAAGATTTATATATATTATTGTTTATATTTTCCATTAAAACAAATACAGAATATCTTACCTTTAAGAGTATTTATAATTTTTTGTCTGATGTTGTCTTTAAGTATCCCAATCTTCAATTGTAGATTGCAGCTACTAATGAAGTTTGTAGGTGAATACCTATACTATATCAAGCAGAAACCAAAGCAGTACAACCAGCACATTTTTTTTCAGCACTTATGTTTATCATTATCTTATCCATCCTCCTAGACCAAACATGTTTATTCTTATCCAAATATTTTCCATCCTCCTAAACCAAATATGTTTGTTCTCTACTGATTTTTAGAATGATTGCTTCTGTAATATACATGTTTCTTTACTATTATACATGTTTCTTTAGTTTCTTTACTATTATACATGTTTCTTTGACATTCTGTTCAAAAACGAAAGTGTTCTCCATAAGTTTCTTTAATTTTTACTAAACTGTTTAATGAGTGGTTGACTGAATCTAAATCTTGACACCTGTCCCCTCTAACTGCTATCCAGTCAGTCTTCTCTATATTATAAGCAAAGTCTTTGATAATTGATCAACAAATTTCTAACATTCCAACTTGAGTCTAACATTTTACTCCCTGACAATCATTATGGCTTTCCAACTTCTTGTTTTAAGGCCGACTTGCTAACTGTAATGGCATGCTGGTCTTCTCCATAAGCTTGCTTCATGTGACGTATCTGAGAAAGTTTTTGAGGTTATCAAATCATTTCTTTCTAATTGTTTTATTAATGTCATCCTCGAAGGCTAACACTCTTCTTCGTTTCTAGTACCTTCTGGAGTACCTAAAATGGGCATACTTGGTCCTGTGTTATTTTTTATCTACATTAATGATCTTCCTGACAATCTTACATCTAAAGTGGCTCTATTTGTTGATAAATAAACTTTATACCCCTTTCTAAATAAAAAAATTTATCTCACTTTTGTAACAGCTTGGGGCTTGTAGTTCTATTTGAATTTTAACTTCAACAAAACTCAGTTGCTTACTTCAACCTAACTCCAATTGTGGTAAAGTTGCATCTCCTATTTTCTACAAATGGTTGCTGCTCAAAGGAGCTACCATCTCTAGTTCCATTAACCAAAACTCATTCTCAATTGAATCGTCATTTAGCAAAGTCGCATTTTACTGTATCTGTTCCTGCATGCTCTAAAATTATATAAACTATTTGTTTATTTTTTTTCTTCGGACTGTATTTATCACAGTCTAATTGTTTAAAAAATTGATTATATATTCTGTATTTTATTGAAGTATATCTTTTATTTAGATTTAGTACGAATCAGAAGTGAACTTATACAGAAATTATCAAACAAGTTGGAAGACTAAAAACTTTGATACACTCAAAAAGTCACTTTTTAAGTTTAATTATTTCCGTTCGAAATTGAATATACAATCAATAACAAATTAGAGTCACAAAGTAAATTTAACTTTCTTAAAGCAATATTTTAAATTAAAAAAATTTAGAAAAAAACTTGTGATTGTTGTGTTGTTTCTTCTTCCTACAAATTAACCTTATTAGTTAGCAACTAAATTTTCTTTTTAATTTATAATGTATTTTAAAAGAAAAATTTGAAAGAAAAAATGTTGTATTTTATAATATTAAAAAAAAAGAACAGGCTAAAACTTTTCTATATTATCTAACTTGTTTTTTATTATAATTTTGCTTGCATCGCTTGTTATGAATTAGGAAGTATTAATCAAGGAAAAAGAGTATATAATACTTTTTGTAACATCAAAAGTATACTTTTTGAAATAATAAGTGAAATTGAGCTTCATATATATAAAGACTGTTCTCCTCTCATTTCGGCTGTAAAAACTTATTGCTCAGGATAACTAATTAGACGCTGATATAAAAAGAATTAATGAGAATAAAATCGGCATGCAAAAACTTTTCGTTTTATCTTTTTTTTATTATTGTAAATGCTTACTCGACAGTTTCATTAGGGTTTTTTTAAATCATTTTTGTAAATCGACTTTTTGTCCCTATCCCTAACCCTAACCGTAAACCTGACCCTAACCCTGACCCTAACTCTAACTTGAGACGGCCCTGAATAAAAGCAATGGCATATATAAAAATAATATTGTAGAAATAGGGCTACTTTAAGTGCTGCAGGTATTCATATTTAATGAACTAATACTTCATTTTAACCAACAATTTCTTTGGTTTTTAACAAGATTAAAAGTTACTATGTTGCATAGTTGCTTTGAATGTTGCTCAGGTTAATAGTTTGAGTTACTCAAAAAAAAAAGTGCCTAATTTTTTTGGCGCCTTTGATTAGGCAGATTAAACAAGCTAAAAGTCGATTTACGAAAATGATTTAAAAAAACCCTAATGAAACTGTCGAGTAAGCATTTACAATAATAAAAAAAAGATAAAACGAAAAGTTTTTGCATGCCGATTTTATTCTCATTAATTCTTTTTATATCAGCGTCTAATTAGTTATCCTGAGCAATAAGTTTTTACAGCCGAAATGAGAGGAAAACAGTCTTTATATATATGAAGCTCAATTTCACTTATTATTTCAAAAAGTATACTTTTGATGTTACAAAAAGTATTATATACTCTTCTTCCTTGATTAATACTTCCTAATTCATAACAAGCGATGCAAGCAAAATTATAATAAAAAACAAGTTAGATAATATAGAAAAGTTTTAGCCTGTTCTTTTTTTTTAATATTATAAAATACAACATTTTTTCTTTCAAATTTTTCTTTTAAAATACATTATAAATTAAAAAGAAAATTTAGTTGCTAACTAATAAGGTTAATTTGTAGGAAGAAGAAACAACACAACAATCACAAGTTTTTTTCTAAATTTTTTTAATTTAAAATATTGCTTTAAGAAAGTTAAATTTACTTTGTGACTCTAATTTGTTATTGATTGTATATTCAATTTCGAACGGAAATAATTAAACTTAAAAAGTGACTTTTTGAGTGTATCAAAGTTTTTAGTCTTCCAACTTGTTTGATAATTTCTGTATAAGTTCACTTCTGATTCGTACTAAATCTAAATAAAAGATATACTTCAATAAAATACAGAATATATAATCAATTTTTTAAACAATTAGACTGTGATAAATACAGTCCGAAGAAAAAAAATAAACAAATAGTTTATATAATTTTAGAGCATGCAGGAACAGATACAGTAAAATGCGACTTTGCTAAATGACGATTCAATTGAGAATGAGTTTTGGTTAATGGAACTAGAGATGGTAGCTCCTTTGAGCAGCAACCATTTGTAGAAAATAGGAGATGCAACTTTACCACAATTGGAGTTAGGTTGAAGTAAGCAACTGAGTTTTGTTGAAGTTAAAATTCAAATAGAACTACAAGCCCCAAGCTGTTACAAAAGTGAGATAAATTTTTTTATTTAGAAAGGGGTATAAAGTTTATTTATCAACAAATAGAGCCACTTTAGATGTAAGATTGTCAGGAAGATCATTAATGTAGATAAAAAATAACACAGGACCAAGTATGCCCATTTTAGGTACTCCAGAAGGTACTAGAAACGAAGAAGAGTGTTAGCCTTCGAGGATGACATTAATAAAACAATTAGAAAGAAATGATTTGATAACCTCAAAAACTTTCTCAGATACGTCACATGAAGCAAGCTTATGGAGAAGACCAGCATGCCATTACAGTTAGCAAGTCGGCCTTAAAACAAGAAGTTGGAAAGCCATAATGATTGTCAGGGAGTAAAATGTTAGACTCAAGTTGGAATGTTAGAAATTTGTTGATCAATTATCAAAGACTTTGCTTATAATATAGAGAAGACTGACTGGATAGCAGTTAGAGGGGACAGGTGTCAAGATTTAGATTCAGTCAACCACTCATTAAACAGTTTAGTAAAAATTAAAGAAACTTATGGAGAACACTTTCGTTTTTGAACAGAATGTCAAAGAAACATGTATAATAGTAAAGAAACTAAAGAAACATGTATAATAGTAAAGAAACATGTATATTACAGAAGCAATCATTCTAAAAATCAGTAGAGAACAAACATATTTGGTTTAGGAGGATGGAAAATATTTGGATAAGAATAAACATGTTTGGTCTAGGAGGATGGATAAGATAATGATAAACATAAGTGCTGAAAAAAAATGTGCTGGTTGTACTGCTTTGGTTTCTGCTTGATATAGTATAGGTATTCACCTACAAACTTCATTAGTAGCTGCAATCTACAATTGAAGATTGGGATACTTAAAGACAACATCAGACAAAAAATTATAAATACTCTTAAAGGTAAGATATTCTGTATTTGTTTTAATGGAAAATATAAACAATAATATATATAAATCTTAAAGGTAAGATATTCTGTATTTATTTTAATGGAAAATATATATAATAATATAAATAAACAACTTACAAGTGAAACAGATTGAAGAAGACTTTAACTAACTGTTTTTTTTTAAAAGTGATAGCAGTCAGGGTTACATCACATGATATAGATAGCAATTATGACAAACAGCTGGGTATTGTTCAGTCAGAAAGGCTTCAAAAGTAGTGACCATACAATTCTGATAACATGCAACAAAACATAATGCTACTGGCCAGGGACAACAAGAAGAAACCTAAAAAAAGAATATCATTATAATAAATCTCTTAGAGTAGCATCTTAGAATACTACCCTAATAAAACTACTATCGTAATAAAGTTAAGAAATATAATGCATATTATAGTATTATGTTTAGACACACATCCCTTATGTATATTGTTTATAAATGTCAAAGTCAAATTTGCTGCTTAGAATATTACACTCTCTTAGTGTAACTAAGAATTTTACCACAAACTATCAATATGTTTAGAATGTCATACCCCCTATGTACTACCAGTATTATATATGTTATATATAAAAAATATCACAATTCCAATGTATATTATTAAAAAACTTCGTAGTTAGTCTTATTTGCTGCTTTGAATCTTAGATGTAAATAAGAAATCTATTGTCAACTAACAGTTTTATATTACTTAAAATATCGGGATCCTCCCCCCCCCCTCACCATGTATATTGTTTATATATGTCATAAAAACTAGTTGTATTTTCTGCTATGAACCTTAAAATATCACATCCAGCAAATTAATTAAGAAATATATTACTAACAATCACTGTATGTTTACAATATCACATCACCCGTGTACTTTGTTTATAAATATCATACTAATTAATTGCACTTTTAGTTTAAAAATTTAGAATATGACATTTCCTTATTATAATTAGGAAATATATTACAAACCATTAGAAACTAATTTTTTGAATGTCACATTCCCCATGTAAATTGTTCATTAATGTTATAAAAATTATTTGTATTTGATGTTTAAAATATTACATAATTTAAAAATAATTAAATTAAAATATACAGTTTTTTAAGTTTAAAATATTACATTATCCATGTTGTTTGTTAAAAAACAACATACTGGATAGTGCTTAGAATGTTAGAATATCACATCACCTTAATAAAATTAAAAAATACACTATTACATGTTTAAAATATTACATCACCCATTTTATTTGTTAAAAATAAGAAACTAGATTGTGCTTAGAATGTTAGAATATCACATCACCTTAATAAAATTATAATATACACTATTTATAGTTTAGAATATTACGTCAACCATGTATTTTGTTAAAAAACAACATACTGGATAGTGCAAAGATTGTTAGAATATTACATCACTTTTATTAAATTTAAAAATACACTATTACATGTTTAGAATATTACATCACCCATGTTTTTGTTAAAAAAACAACATTCCAGATAGCGCTTAAAATGTTAGAATATCACATCGCCTTAATAAAATTAAAAAAATACACTATTTTATGGCTAGATTATTACACCACCCATGTAATTTGTTAAAAAAACAATATATTAGATAGTGCCTAAAATGTTAGAATATCACATCACCTTTATAAAATTTAGAAATACACTTATATATGTTTAGAATATCATATCACCCATATACTTTGTTAAAAAACAATATCGTAGATAGAGATTAGAATTTTAGAACATCACATCACCTTCAAAAAACTTTGAAATACACTATTATATGTTTAGAATATCACATCACCCATGTATGTTTGTTTCTGTTTAACCAACATACTAGATATTGTTTGTTAAAAAACAACATTTTTTCAACGTTCTTGTATTATTCAGACGTACTCGGTACTCTACTAAGTTTTATTACTTTAAAACGCATCCTCGTTTTCATTCTTTCTACTGGTGAGGTGATATTCTAAGGTGCGGTGATATTCTATTATAAAACTCGTTTTAAATACAAAAAAGTTACTTTGAGTTCACGAGGACTTTAAGATTTGAAAAACGCATGCGCTAAACTTGTGACGCGCTTTCTAGGTCGGCGTTTTTAAAAAAATTTTAAATGTACTTTTGGCGCATTTTATCTAAGGCTAACCCGTATCCCATTCGGAACGATTATTTTTATTTGCGTATATATAATAGCAAGGTAAATAAAAGATTAAAAAGCAAGCGAGATAAAAACAATAGTAAATATTTAGTTTTCTTAATGACGTTGAAGCATTATTAAATTTACCTTGGACTTAAATAACGTGCTATTTAATAAAAATATAGAATAACAAAGAGCAATGCTTAAAAATGTATTAAGTACCAAAAATGCACTATATACTGCTTAAAATAACGGTCTCTACTTTTAAATAATTGTTTTTAGGGTAAAACCATTAATTCCTGGCCGCCTAGTTTTAAACTGCGTTATATGTTACCGCAAATGGCTTTGATTCTTTATTTATAAAATATTTCTTAACTCTTAAAAGTCCTCTTGAGATACAAGTTATGACAAGTTTGGTAATTTTTGTTCATAAATTAGTAATAATAATTTTAAGAACAAATATTACTAGGCTTAAAAAACACCAAATCATGGCCAGAGATACATAACATGGCCATTGCGAACTTATTCCTAGGCCATTACGTTTTACGAAGTAAAAGTAGTCATAACATTTTTAAATTTAAATAAAAATTAAAACAAATTTATTGTAAAGAGTTTAGTAAAGAAATTCTGCATAAGTTTTTACTTTTATAAATTTCTTTTTTTAAAAGGTGAACAAACAATAGATTTTAAAGCTTACTAAAATTTTCAAACTAAGATAAAATAATGTTTCGTTAATCTTATGTAACAAACTGAGGCTCCAATTATAAAAGTTGGATTATACTCTTATTTTTACAAACTTGGAAAGCCACTAACGCAATATTTAAGGCAAAAAACTTCTTTTTTTGTGGCCAGGATTCGGTGGTGGCTATATATAGGTGGTTTTATTATAACGAATATTTTCTTTTTGAATATTTACACAATTTTTTTAGCTTGTATTTCATCAGAAAATATTCATTTCAAATATTATCTTAAAAATGTTATTAGAACTTTTTTTTGTGTTATGAGTTAAAAAACTGCTTTTAACTCATAACGTTTTGAATTTGACATTAATACCGCTTAAGCGAGTTGGACGTGCCTGGTTAATACACAGTTATGTTTATAATTTTATATAATAAAGTTATATATTAATACAAATTTTTTTTATAACTTTTTTCAATTTAAAAAATTTATTGACATCTAGAGCACTTCCAATGATTGTCATAATTCTTATTTTTGAATATGTTTGTTGGTATGTTTTGGCATCTTTTATGGAACCATTCACTGCAATTTGAGCACTGTGCCATGAAGAGGCCTTTGTCTGTCTCGACGTCAGAATCAAAGAAAGACATCCTACATGAACAAAAAATATCTTGAAGGACTATTTTTTGTCTTCCTCGTTTAATTCGTTTACTAAACGAAGCTTGTGGAAAAGTACTCATTAAATTTTGTCGAAAACAATCAACTAGATGTGCCCGCATTTTAGTAAGGTCATAGTTTGAATCAACTGGATTTATTCCAAAGAGAATATCTGTTGCATATGCTATCGCAAATAAGCCGCAATCTGAACCATTTTGTTGTTGTTGTGTAGGCTCAATTAAAATACGTAGTATGGATTCATTGCAGTTTACAACATGACAATTTGTTTAATTGAGGTATGGTGTAAAGGATTACTAGGTAAAGAGTCAAAAACTTTAATATTATTCGATGTTTCTGCCGCAAATGTTATCCAATGGTTGTTACTGTAGATTATTTGTATCCTACTTGACTTTAGTTTGGACATTTTATGCAAAGAACCTAACCCAGTATCTTCCAAGCCTTCCGCAAACGGAAATTGCTTGTAGAGCAAAATTTGAGCATAGTTAATTTCATTACAGGTTAACCAATCACCACTTTGTATTACTTTTTCCATATTGGAGTCGAATATTGAATAAAATCGATAAAACTTAAGTTCTCCCGGTCTCCCTTTTTTTAATTGAGTAATTACCAACTCTTCTTCTCCAGTTTCCATCTTATCTTTAACATGCTGTTTTTCTTCTTCGCAAATTTCAATGATGATGCCCTCTTGATCAGAGGAGTCAGTATTGAGCTCCAGATTTGCTCTGTAACATTGTTTCATCATTTCAGCTGTCTGCCCACACCTTGCACTAAATGGATGCTTTGTTTTTCTGGCGAATAAATTTTTAGAAAACAAGTTACTTTTTGGTTTTAAAATAGATTTTGATGTTAAGCTGGTTTTTGATTTAAATTTTTTTATAGGGGAGTCCCTTTTTATCAATCCTAATGGTTGACTAAGATTTTTTAATATTAACGCTGTAATGGTATCTAAGTCTGTGTTCATATGATCCAAAATATTTTCATCTTTAACAAGATAGGTTAAATCCATTAATCTTTTTAATTTAGAGCGCGAATCGATTTGATAACATTTTGAAATTGGTTGGCGTGTTTTGAAGTCATTCGCGTAATGCTTGTTAATTAATTGTTTACTCTTATCTTTATTATCAAAATTGTTGACTTGTAAGTCAAAAATATTGTTGTCATTAGAAATACTATTTAGTTCATCGTCTATCTGCAGCTCGTTTTTGTTCTCAGTTGGTTTTGTATTACATTGAGCTTCTTTCTTTGACGAGTTAACAAAAATTTCGGGATCTAGAACGGACCAACTATGATTGAGAAACTTGGTAGTAAGATTTCCAAATGTTGACAATCCAGATTTAAACACGGCAAAAAATTGTTTACAAATTATTCGATGACGACGATAATCTGAACAAGAACAGGAACAATTCTTATCCACGTTACCTATGCACACAATATAATCTTTAATGTTATTAGTTTTAACTTCGGAACTATTGACCCCGAATGTTATCGGGTCTATTCTTTTTACTGAATTTACCATTGAAGATGTTACTTTGCTTTTATTATTCAATAAAATATTTACTAGTTGTTTTGGGCGATTTCGAAAATACCACGGCACTCCTTCATTATATTTTTTATAACCTTCAATGTACCTTACGTTCAACTCCACGTATTTACGATAATGCTTTGGTATGAAGTTTTCAATAACAACTGTAAGCTTCTCACTGAGTGAGCAATATTTGTAGTTAGCAAGGTCGTCGTATTTTAGATCCTCGTTTAATCGCTCAGTGCCATTGTTGGTATTATTAAACATTATGTCATCAGGTCTATAAGCCAGACACCATCTTTTTATCTCTGGTAACCACGTTCCGTGAAACCTTGATTAAAATAGCTATTCTAGTTATGTAATATAACACTTGTAGTCAATATATACACATATATACCATATAAAAAAAAGCGTATAATAGCTCTACGACAATAACAAAAACTAAATTAAAACATAGAGTTATAAAAGTAATAAACTTTTAACAACAACACCTTATTAAACATTGCTAATATAATTATTTACAAAAAAAAAATTACCATTTTAGAAGTTTGTCTTTACAGAATTCCCAAGATAAGAACTCGGGCTTCTACATTTTCTGAATGCGCTATACGACGCAAGTATATTTTAACCTGTTGTGCAATATTTTGCACCCTATTATGATTTTAAAATTCAACGGTGCCAACATTGCTCACGATGAAAGTCGCATAAATCACCTTAATGTTAGGAAAAACTGATTCTAGCGAATAAATCTCTTGTTCGTCAAAGTCAACCATTGCATATTTAGGCTCAATATCAGGATTCCATGATTTTATTAATGTCAAAGCTTTTATAATCATGACTTGCGTCTCTTCTTGCAACACAAAAATTGCAACCACTTGAAAATTTACATTAGTCCTGACAACTAAAAAAAGTAAAGGCAAGGAATACTTTGTAGTTTTATATGTTGCATCTAAACATATAAAATGCTCTGCATATCTTCGATACAACCGTTTCATTTTTTCAGACTGATAAACAAAAACCATTTTACCATCTGTATTATGAGTTGCAAGATTTTTAATTACTTTTTCGACCTCTTCGTCACTTTGCGAATCTATGTCGTTTTCCACTGTTTGAGCTTCGATGCGCTTGCTTAAACCCTCAAACCATATGTCACCCTATTTAGACCATTTATCTGTTACAAGTTGTTCAACATTTATTTGGTCTACTTCGGCATATCGATTTTTCAGCTTTTCGGATATAATAATATTTTTAAGTTTTCTTCGAGAAGGTGTATATTGGCGTCGGTGAAAATCGTTGTCGCTAAACGTCGGTAAAATAACTAGATTAATATATCCTTCAGCTATACTCTCTAAATCTCTTATGCCCTTACAACCACTTCTTATCTGTTCTCGTAAAAAATTATTTACTCTTTTGTCTAACGGTTCTATCAAACCAGCTGCTTCACTAATGTTATGATTTTCATGTGGTTCAGTAGGCCACTTCAACAAATAAACAAGTTGTCCAATTTGAGGAGAACTTTTTGATCTTGCTGCTATAAACTGCTCTTTTAACTGCCTTCCTGCGTTAGTTCGATTATACTTATTGTTTTTAGGCAATTTAGTTTCATAAAAGATCATGATTTTTTTAACAGAAAAAGACACAGGAAAATCCATTTTTTTTGTTGGTTGCGTGTACTTACGCGATTTTTTGTACATATAATCACTAATACGAAGAGCATCATTTTCCATTTGGTATCTTTCTTTTTTTTTAGCATCAATATCTTTACCTTGATGGCAGTGATAAATTCGTTTTCCAAGCAATATATAAGGGTGCCCACTATAAGGAATTGGTAATCTATCATTTGCCCCACAAAATTAGTTTTGGTAAATTCTTTGATGAATTTAAAATGTCAATCAGGGAAAGTAAACAGATTAAATAGAAAATTAAACAAAATATTTTCGGATGCATTCCATGCTCTCACCCACAATGTTAATATATGTAACTTAAAACATAAAATATTTATTTAATGAATTATGTGACATACCAGCACGTTTATGTCATAATTATTTATTTTTTTTCAATTATTTAGGTGCTCTAAGTCCTAATGGTCTTGTCACAGAGCACCGCCACATAGAGAATAGCATTTATTGAATTGGCTCTCCGTTTCCAACTTCACCAATAACGTTTAAGTGCTTCGAGCGGGATCGAACCCGCAACCTTTGGTTACGAGTTCTATGCTCTAACCACTGCGCCACGGCTGCTAATCTAATAATAATCATTTCAATTATATCGCATCTAGGTCAGAAATAAACTTCATTTCTTTGAGCTTACCATCTTTGGAAAAATCTTTTGATTCCTTTGCGACACGATACTTCGTAATTGTTTCTTCTTCGTATGTTTGTATAGCATCTTACAATGAACTATAGCTCATAAACTGCAAAACACCTAAAAAAAAAAAAGGAAATTGAAAAGGAGTTTTTTTTATATACTTGCTTAGTAGTGTCCGTGATTGTGGAGTCGCATGTTTTTTATCACGGCTCGACAGGCTTACGGAGCAGAAAGTTTTTTTTATGGTTCTGCTCCGGCTCCTAACAAATATACGGGTCTGGCTCGGCTCCCGAATTTTTTTGTGCAATAATTACAACTTAATTTTTTTTTATTTTTAAAATTCTATTTTGTCAAACATTAATCGCTTGCTTAATTAAACAGTAAAGTTTGCACATTTGAAAAAAAAAACTCAGGAGCCGCTACATTTTTGCGGCTCCTCTAAAAAACAGCGGCTCCACGGCTCAGGCTCCACAAGACTGGAGTGTCACACTATCGAAAAAGTTGCACGATTACACAAAAGAAAACACCAAACAACGTTTTGAATTAGTTTGATTTTAAAGTCTAAACACATTCCGCATTTCTTTCTTATTTCGTTTTTTGTGCAGCTTCTATGCTTCGATTGAACTTAACAGCAACTAATTATAAAACAGTATATTAAAAGTACATAAAGAACCCACATTACCTGGTTTACAAACAAGAGGGATGAACCCAGACTTTTTAAAGTAACGTTACAGCGGTACGGGCGCCCATGAAATACCCGATTATTACAAAACGCCCTAATGGATTATTATAAAGCGGCCTAATCGACCTAAAGACACATACCTATTTAAATTTACTAAAAACTAGATCCTAGTTAAACCCGTTGAACTTAAATCATGCCAGATAGTCAAAAATTGAAATTATATGTTCTACTACTATATAAGATACATTATCTTGTTTCTTAACTCTTAAATTAAACAGAATGAAGTATTCTAATAATAAACCAAGACTTAACTAGACTCTCTGCTCCATGCTTATAAAAACTACATAAAACTAAATAAATTAAATAACAGTTTATTAAAATTGTGATCCATGATTACCATTTTATGATTATTTTTTTAATGATAAACATCTTTTCATGGCTAATAGCTTTTTTTACATTTTTTCTTTACTTTTGTTAGTGAGACAGCAATCAGTATTCTTCTTGAATTGATTGATGTCTTGTTCTTGAAAGCTCTCAATTTTTTGCTTATAACTCCATTATAATATAGTCAACCAGTTTATCTGACTTATTTAAAATTGATATCTTATCCACCTCTACTGCTCACCCAACTCAGTATATTGAAATAACATGAATAAGATCGAGGTAGTTAACTGTAGCAATCTCCATTGTAATTCACATGAGTATATTAAGCAGATTAATTGGTTGTATAATATTAGCAATGTCAGTCCTACTCAATTTTAATGTTACTGTCTTAATACTTTTAAATCAGGTTGTAATAAAAATTAACCTATACCAAACAGACCAGATTATGTAAGCGATGCTCATAAGACTGCTAAATACGCATTCTGTCTATGACAAGCTTTACAAAAGTCTTTAATCTTTTTGAAAATGCTTTTATTTAATGCTTTAAAAAGAGCTTTATATAAATATGCTATTTGTCAATGTAAAAAAAGAAGATATTACAAATGAAGAAAAGGTGGCAAACAGTTTAGCAAAGGAGAACTATACTAGTTTATGGTATACCCTATGATTATTGACTATGCCTCAGTTCCTCCTAATCTATGTTACACATAGCATAACAACTATTCGATCTTGTTTAGCTCAATCAAGCCAACATAGTAACATGTTGTTACCAACCAACATATATGTATCCTACTACCTTGTAGGATGCATCTCTTATCTTTTTCAGGCAAAGGCTGGAAGCCAACTCTAACATAAAAACAATACCTTTGGGGCACTTGGTTGAGTAAAGTTAGAGATAAAAGTGTCTCAATAAAATACCCATCTTGGGCAGACATTAAATGCATCCAGCTACTGTCTAGTAGAAAGACTCCTAGGCAAAGACTTAAGAGGTAACATATTCTATCTGTTGACCAGCTTTGCACCCCTCTTCATCTATTAGGCTGGCGTAGATAAATTTACAATACCATGTTTTCAATTTAGGATGTTGAATGCTGGAATCTCATGACTCAATGCATGGGATTTGCTTGTGTTCCTGTTTGTACAACTAGTCAACATATTTTATTTTCTCCTAATGAGAGTACAGCTCTCTAATACTTAGTTTAATAGTTCTGAGGCTGGCTGTTAGTTAGGTTTCTTGAACTCTGTGGTAGCTCTCATAGAGGCTGATTACATAAACAGCTGTAAAGTATCAGAATGCAAACAATGCTATGTTACGCATGAATGGTGTCCCTGCTTGTTTTTTTGGTGAGCATTGTCAAGGCTACATCTGAAGCCCTTTGTTAAGGCTTAGGGTTTATTAATAGTAATGAGGCAATTTCATGGACATTCAAATAGTATACTGAGTAGACTGTGCTATTAGTCAAGTTCTTAAACTAATCAAAAAATGACTAAAGTACCAAAAACTATAAAACACAAAAAACCATCGTCATCACCAAGTTCTCTAACATCGTCATCACCAAGTTCTTCTACTATAATCCACTATAATTTGTGGTCTTCGGCATAACTTTTCTTCTTTTGAGTCTAAGCTCTTGTAAAGTTCACCAGACCTACTTGCACTTTGTGAAACTAAATTGAGCTCATCTGTCTCGTCATGTGATCTTAGTGTTGATGGATATATTATTTTGGTTCTTAAAGACTCTAAGTCAAATATTTGGTCTAGGCTTTTACATTTAAAAGAATTGTCGGGAAACTAGATTTAAATCCTCTGACTATCCTTTTATGTGCTTTTGCTTAGTACCACTTCACTCATTCACCTTTCTCTTTGTTCTATATCTCTCTCCTTTTTCTCAAGACTGCACTCTTTTGGATGTTATATCTGATCAAATTGACCAAGCCCTTTCTCCTCATCTTTTAGCAACTATTGTTGTTTTTGATGACTTTATTGCTCATCACACAGAATGGCTTGGCTCTAATGTCAGTGACTCTGCAGGCATTTAGGCCCACAAATTTTGCCTTTTTCAATCTCTAACACAAATAGTCAACTTTCAAACACACGCTCTCCAGACAATCCGAATCATTCACCTTCTCTAATTGACTTATGTCTGTTTCTGATCCTAGTCAGTGCTAGGATCATACTTCTGCTACAGCAAGAAAGTCTCAATGGCTGGTGAACTTTAACTTAAATAAGACTCAATAATTTTTAGCTAATCGTTATCCCAATAATTGCGATCTTCCTATATTTATGAATGATAATATACTTGATGAATCATCTACACTTTGGCTCCTAGAATTAACTCTTACTTCTGATCTTTCTCGGAAACCATATATCAAATTCATTTTAAAATCAAATAGCATGCATCTCCTTATCGTGCTTGCCACGTTCTTACTACTGATTCTGTCCATTCTTGTATATAATAGTTGCCTAGGGTGAATCTTCCATTGATGACCTTTCTCTTTTAGATAAGGTGCAAAAGCGTAAACAAAGTTTGAAGCTGTTCTTGCAGCCAACCTCCGACCATTGTCACATCCTCGTAATGTTGCTTCTCTTTCTCTTTTCTACAATTACTATGATGGGCGTTAGTGTCTCTTGTGCTATCTACTAAAATTCATTCTCATGTTATGCCTCATTCAATGAAGTCCCTTTACTGTGACTGTTCTTAAGTTTACTAAGTTTTCTAATTTACCTCAAATTTACTAAAAAGAAAAAGGTTGATTGCAAATTGAAGATTCTTGATATAATTATTAACTCTGTGAATTATCAATTTAATACTTCAACATTTTACAAAAAAACATACACAGTTTTACAAACTATTTTTAAAAGCTTTACTAATATTAATTATAAACTACGACTCATTAAAACTCTGATCAACAGGGCCTTCAAAAAACAGCAAGTTTTCATCTAGATATTGTAAAAATTAAACAAACACTCCAAAAAAACTCTTTCCCCTTCAACTTAATTGAAAAAAACTTCAAATATTTACTATACAATTTTATCTCTCCTAAAGAAAATATGTCATCTGCAAAACCATCTGATATACATAACTTTAAACTCCCTTATATTGGAATAATTTTGAAATATATTTCAACACCAATTAATTAAATACATTTAATATATTTTAAAGATAATATAAAAGCAAGACTAGTTTTTACAACTTTTAAAATAAGTAGTATGCTTTCATCAAAAGAAAGCGTTTGCTTTCATCAAAAGAAAGCAACCCCTTACCCGCAAATTTAAAATCCTTTGTTGTCGATACATTTGAAAGCATATGCTTTCATCAAAAGAAAGCAACCCCTTACCCCCAAATTTAAAATCCTTTGTTATTGATAAATTTGTTTGTTCCGGCTGTAACGTTGGATTCATTGGTAAAACCAACAGACACTACACAACAAGGGTTTCAGAACATTTAAATTCAGATAAAGTATCCAATATTTACAAACATCTTACTTCATTGCAAAAATGCAAAAACTCAACAAATCATGACTCTTTTTGCTATTATTGACAGAGTTTCTTCATGTTAATTATTTATATTATAAATTGTAATTATGGTACTATTTACTATTGTAAAACTATTAAATTTTTAATGCAGCCAAATAACTCACTTATATATA